TTCTAGAGGAACTGAGAGAGAAAGATTGTACACTTGGAATAATCGCCCGCATAACATGGTCAATATGAGAACAATGACCAAAGGAGAGAGAAAGAGAAATAGGATGTTTCTCTTTTCGTCGTCTTTGTAAGTCTTGCAGAACTATGATTACATTTAATAATCTAACAATAAGATTCGTAATTAATCGCGAGAGCCCTGATTCTAATTTGGGCTTATCATTATCATGGGAACTAGTGCTAAAAGAAAAGGAAACACTTTCGAATTAATTGTCCTTTCTTAGACCCAACCATGATCAATCAATTTTTAATCCTAATTTGTGTTCATAATATTTTCGAATTAACAGCAAATTAAGAAAACGTTGAAAAATATTATATATAAATTTTGGACTTCTTTTGCAAGCTCACAAAAATTAAAACAAACTATCTTCGTATTTTCAAATGAACCCTTCAATAAATCCTAACAAAATGATTACTATACCTCAAACAAAATATTCTAAAAGTCTATACCATCCAAAAATACAGAGTTCTTTCGAAAAACCTAAAAAATAATTGCAAGAAGACTATTTCCAAAATAAAATCCAAAATTAATCCCGAATCCATCCCTTATAATTGGACCAAAATAAATGATAATTACAAATTTAATATTCCAAGAGTAAAATACCTCAATACGAGTAATCATTTTTTTAATAAAAAAAAAAAAACAAAACAAAAAAAAACATGAAAAAAGGAAAAAAATAGAAAAAAATTGTCTTCGTAATTCTCCGTCGGATTTCGTGTCCGAAAACGTGCTACCTTGAACGTGGTCGCGGAACGAATGCCATAGGACTTTCCGTCTTCGTCTGACTACCCCCACCATGTTGATTTGCCAAGAGCTTGGTCGCCCGCGCGCGCGCGGGCCCGTATTCGATGCGAATCCACGCTTGGAAAGGGGCAACTATCCCCGTTTATCGCGCTTCCTTTTTGCTGGTGGGGGAAACCGTCAGTCACGTGGGCGGCGCCATATTTGAGCCACGCCCAATCGCGTTGCCCCTTTACCAGCCCGGCGCGCTCGTCAAATGTTTTTCGTCGCGGATTATGACGCGATCTGCGCGATTATGACCACCTCTACCTCTACCTCTTTCACCATCTCCTGCTCTCTCCCTCTTTCCTTCTTTCTCTCTGATTTCCCCTTCCACGCCACATTCAGAATATACTTTCTCTCTCTCTCTCTCTCTCTCTCTCTCTCTTTCTCTTTCTCTCCCTCTCCTCTCTCTACCTCTTTTCACATTCTAGATTCTTCCTTTTACTCCTCTCTTTCTCTTTCTATTGCTTACCTCAGCAAGCTTGAATTTGTTCTCTCTGTCTTCTTTCAACAGCACAACCCGCTTGGCTAGGTCGTTTTCTGCTACGACGTTGGACGTGTATGTAGAGGGCATCTAAACTACCCCCACCCTTACAGCCCTTTTTCTCTCTTTCTCTCTCTCTCTCTCTCTCCTCGTTTTGAACGTATTCCGTGCGCGACGAACGCACAGAATACCCGATCTCATCCACGTTTCCCTCTTCCTCTCTTTCCCTATCTTCATTTTTCTTTTTTTTGTTATTTGCTTTTCTTTTTTTCTACTCTTCTCCGGCTTCGAATAGAAACTCTCGGGCCTTTTTTCCGAAGGCTACTACTACCTTTGGATCGTGTAAAGACCAGCTACTCTAACGTGGCATCGATCGCCACCGTTCAACCTCATCCTCTTTGCCTCTGAGTCGTCTCAGTCCCACGATGTTCTTCTTCTTTCCTTCGATCTTCCATCACAGAGACAGAAAGAGAGAGAGGGAGGGAGAGAGGGAGAGAGAGAGAGAGAGAAGTAGGGATGAACATGGATAATCAATGACAGTTGGGCAAAGAAAAAATCTCGCAAAGATCATCAGAATGAAGAGGAAGAGCTGGAAAAGAAGATCATTTAAAGTGGTTAATCAAGAAAATTGAGATCATCAGATACTGTTGATCAAGAAGAAGAGAAATTGAAAGTTGGAGATCATCGGAATCACTTGGTCAAAGAAATGAGAAAGAAAAGAAGCTGATCAGAATCACTTGGTCAATGCAACGAGAAAGGGAAAGAAAGAGAGAAAGAGAGAGAGAGAGGAGAGAAAAGGAGATGATCAGAATCACTTGGTCCAAAGAAATGAGACAGAAGGAGATGATCAGTGGTAACTGGTCCAGAGATAAAAAGAGATAGAGACTGATAAGGAGCTATAGAAAGAGAAATACACGTTTAAGAGACCCCAGTTTGTCAGGATAGCTTGCTGATTGGATGGACAGCTTTCTTTCTTACGATATTCTTAGCCTTCCCTTGACGCGTGAACGAGAATTTAATGGTGCGGATCGGTGAGAAAGTTTTTCCGATGGAATGATTTACGCGGTTTTGCTCTTAACGATCTCAGTAACTCTTTCTCTCTTTATCCCCATCTATCTTTACGCGCCTCACGTGAGAATGAGAGTGCAGGACAGAGAACGAGACTGGATTGAATGCAGCAAACTCGTTCAGTCTTTACTCGGAAATCTTTTTAGTTCCAACGATATTGCATTGTTTCTCAGGATCATTGTCCAGTCCAGGTCGACATACTTTTTTTTACCACGTTACGTATCAACAATAAATATGTAAGTATATCGAAGGAAAAACCATAGTAGGGTCAACATTGTAGCTTAAATAACTGGACATATTCTGTTCGACGATTCAGCATTATCAAAATTCCAAGCACAGCAGCGTTAGGAATCGACTACGTTACACCAACTTTATTTCCTAAAAAATAACTTCTTAACCATAAGGATTAGCACAATATTTGAAAAATAGAAAGACAAATAGACAGAGACAAACGGACAGGGATACAAGCAGAAAAAGAAAAAGGGAAGAAGGCTAAGAATAAAGAAAGAAGTTCAATCGGTGGATCTGTTCCCGACGGCCAAGTCCTTCACAATCTCGAAATTCTCTTTTTTTATTCCCCAGGTCTCTCCCCTACTTATACCCATCTCTCTCTTTCTCTCACCCTCCCTTTCCCTTTCTCTCTCTCTCTCTCTCTCGTGCTCTCTCTCTCTTACTCTCTCACACATACACACATTTTCCCTCCCTCTAGCTAAACGCGTTCTCGGGAATCGTCCTTACTCTCGCACGGATGGAAAAGCTTTCGCGGATTTGGCAACACTGCGACGCGATGTTGGGCGTCTCAGCAACACTCCGCGGCGCGAAGGACGAACGACGAGGAGGTCTCGGCAAGTAGAAAAAGTCGTGCTCGACGTAACGTCCGTAGCAGCAAAGCTGATAGTGGTGTGCTGGTGGTGGTGACGTCAGTTAAGAGAGTTGTTCCGGGGTGGGATAAAGTGGGCGGAACTAACGGCGGGGAAGGCAGACGCGGAGGAACATGAAAGGCGCCGGGTGAATAGCCCAAGAGTGGGAGCACCTACGCGAGAGACCGTTGCTGAACTTAACTCCAAGAGTGGGGGAACCCAATAGGCGGAGCTAAAAGCTTCCCCTCCGTTCCTCATTTCCGTACATGTTAAACGCGAGCCAATACGCTTGACAAAGACAGAAAGATGGACAGACAGAGAAAGAGAGTTTCGCATTGCTGGGTCGTGCGAATTTTGGCACGATTAAACTTTTCAACCGAGTTTCCACGGAAAAGGCAAGCCAACCAGCCACCCAGTCAGTCAGCCAAGCCGCAAATAAAGTTTTTTCAATGTCAGCTTTTCAACCTGGAATGAAGATCAAGCAAAATAAACTCTTCCTGAACACTTCTATTGTGAACTTGGAATACTTTCTTCCGTTTACTGATTTCGAAATACATGATCTTGAAAATTAGCTTTCTAAACGTGATCAGGATAACAAGGTTATTACTTTTACATGTATACCAAAGAAGTAGTCCAAGATACAAGATATCGTTGCAAAATCGATGTATCGGTACAAATACGAAGTAATCTATCAATAAACGAATGTCTAATTTTCATCCAAAATTATCAAGAAATCTTAAAAATATTCCGGGAAAAAAATAAGATCATTTGAAAGTACATTAGTAAATTGAAGGATTGGGAAGAAGAACATCGAAGGTGTCCTGCACGCTCAGCGTGGTTTTCTTCCCTTCCCTCGTAACTGCCCCCGCCCACTCCGGGGTGTTAATGGGCGTACTCGCGGTTAACACCCTAGCTGGGAAGATAGTGGGGGGATTGGAATACCCCACTCTCGCCTTTTGCTTGCGTCACCAGGATAGATCCTGACGACAACTCTCCTCGAGTTGGCGGTAGGAAGAATAACTTGTGCTGGTCTCGTGTTCTCTTGGAGAAAGATCAGAAAGAGAGAGATAGAAAGGGAATAATTTGAAGATAGAAAGAGGAAGAGTGGGAGGAGTAGGAGCGGGCTTAGGCAAGGGAAGAGAAGGGGAGCGTCGGAAAAGGCGTCGAGAGCAACGCCGTTCGGATTGGCGTTCCGGCGCCAATCCGAGCTAGGAGCGCTCATTATCGCCCAACGGCTGGTCAGGAGGAGAGAGAAAAGGTGCCAGCACGTTTCCCCACCTTCTCGCTCGAGTGACGCGCCACCGTATCTCCATCCCGGTCTTACCAAGGGAAAAAGGAGAGGGTAGGGTGATGGGAAAGTATATGTGAGGCTCGCGCGCGCGCGTCCCGTTGAAATGCAGCTGGTGGGGATGGCAAAGTCCCCACTACCTAGGCCCAAGGGACTCGCTCCGTAGCTCGGCTAACTCGTCGCCGTTGTCGTCGTTGCCGTCGCCGTTGCCGTCGTTGGAATAGGGGAAGGGAGGAGGAGCCCCCGCCGCACGGCCTCAGTCTTCGCGTCGCTGCCCTCCAGCATTCACGCCTCCCGCGTCCGTTCCGCGGCGCAGCCACACTCCGTTCTCTCTCTCGCTCCTTGTGTGTTGTGTGTTCTCTCGTTGTGTGTCGCCGTGTGTCGTCGTCGTCGTCGTCGTCGTCGTTGTCGTCGTTGCTGTTCTCGTCGTCATCGTCGTCATCGTCGCCGCCACTACCACCACCCGCCACCACCGTCGTCGCGTCGTGTCGTTTCGTCGTTGGCATAGTCGTCGCCACTGTCGTCGTCGTCGTCGTGGTCGTGTCTTTTACGTTCTCTCTTGTAAGCGGCCGCGTCTGTGCGCGCGTGCCTTTCTCTGTGTTGTGTGATGTTGTTGTGTGTGTACAGTCGCAGTCAGTGTATTAGTGTATATCTGTGAGTGAAACCCACACACGTATACCTATACACTTACGAGGCACGCATACCTAGACATTATTCACTTGGTGGACGATTCACGTATAGCTAAGCAAGAGAGTCACCCTACCACGCTCGGCAGCACACAGGGACACGCACGTACTCACACGCTCTCCTCGAATCCGGACGGGACTTTAGCACACCAACACCTCTGCGGGAGGTGTGGGGGTGAGCCCCCAGAGGAGGTGTCAATCCTAGCGCTGCTCAGTGACCATCGCGGCGCCACCCAAGTAACACCTTTCGTCCGCTCTCTCTCTGCAACTGAGCACACCGGCAGAATCTAGTCGACGTTTTTAACTCGAGTCAACAAGGGAAAAATCAGACACGCTCCTTTATTACATTTTTTTTCTTCTTTTTTCCATTTCCTAATTTTGTCTCATCCACCGATCGTCATCATCATTGAGCACCTCGTGAAATCATCGAAAATTATCAATCGAAAATTGAACTAAACTTTTCTCTCTCCTTTTTAATCTATTATTCTCAACCAAGAAGAAGACTCCTCAAACGAAGACATTGGATTCGATAGAGGGAGGGAGAGAGAGATATATATTTATTCTGCTGCTCAATACTATTATTTATTATTCTTCAATAATACCCTGATAAGAAGAAAAATACTACGTTTTAATTGATCTGGTGTTTACCTATTTTCGTGTCTACGTTAATCTTTATAACGACGACGCGTCGTTTCTCGTGTGATCCCGGCCCGTCGGACAGTGTGGCTTCTTCGAGCGCGACTACGTTCTCGTGCTTCTCACCTCGTCATTTCCATACCTTTCTCTCTCTCCCTCTCTCTTTTTCTCTCATACACAGTCCCTCTCTCTCTTTCTCTCTCGCTCTCTATATTATCTGTCTTGTCCAATTGTCTTTTTGTGTAAATTGTGAACCAAACGAGTGTTTTGGCAAACAGTGAAAAATAGTGAACGATTACCTACCGAAGGATGGGAGCAACTGTAGGTGCGATTAAATCAATCCGATAAAAGTGACAGTGCTGCTTAATTAGAAAAATATCGTTGATCGAAATCGTTTCACTTAATTGTGATAATAGTGAACATAGAAGAGGTATTTGTCAAGACAAGTGAATGAATAAGAAGATGAAGAAGGGAAGGATCGATGGGTCGTTGAAGGCGAGGGTGAATCATCTTTTTGGCAGGAAAAGGCGTGAACGTTCGAAGGATCAGAATCCTCAACGTTCCTGAACGAGGAAGCAACAAATATGTTGGCGTGGTGATCGAATAAGTGCCTCACGTGCTTTCCAAAAAGAGACTTAAAAATATATATAGATAAAGATATATATATATATATATAGAGAGAGAGAGAGAGAGAGAGAGAGATAAAGATAGAGAGAAAAGCCAAAAAGGCAAAGAAAGGCAAAGTGGGTTGATAAAGTGAAGGAAGATAAATAGCAAAGACGCGGAAAAAAAAAGAAGAAGAGTTAGAGTCACTCGAAGAGGAATCTCGCGCGACTCGGCACACTCGCCCGTCTCGATGAGATTCGAACAGGAGACAGCGTGCAGGGGTACCCACTGCGCCAGCACTCCGCAACCCTCCGCGCTGCAACAGCGAACACGGCCTGAGGAGTTGGTGGTGGAAGAGGAGGAGGACTCTTCCTCCTTGAAGGACGACATTGTCGTAGGTCAACGGTTAAGACGCAGAGAATTGGAGACTAACGTGGTCGAGGGTGCGAAGACGGGGCCGAGGGCCGAGGCGGGGGGGCCTGGGATGGCGTACCCCGCGTCAGCGACGGCTCTGAATCAGCACTCGCCGTTCGCAAGCTCGTTGTCCCTCGGTGGAGGACCACTTGGTGCTGCCAGCAGCGGAGGAACCGCTGGTCCTCTCGCAGCTGGAGCACTAACCTCCAATAATCCCAACGGCCATATCTCAACGGCCGGTGGACAACATTTGCCAGCACCGGCCGCTCCAAGACCAACGGATTTTAGTGTTTCCTCCTTGTTAACTGCTGCCAACACTCATCCACCGATCTTAGGTGGTTCTTCGTCTCAAGGTAGCGCATCGCCACCACCTGGAGGACCTGGCAGTCCAGCAGCGGCGCCCGAAACTCCGCCACCCTTACCGATCCAAAGGGAATTGTCTCATCCTTCCTCGGCTGTTGCCGCTGCCAGTTATTTCAGTGCCGCTGCACTGGCAGCCGCTGGTTTGTATAATCCGGCGGCTCATCTGCCTCCAACCAGCTCGCCAGGGCCGACGGCTCATCATCTACAGGGCAAAGCTATACTCACCAGTCCGCATCATCATCCGCATCTTAATCCTCACGGCATCACGCCACCAGGTACACTCTTTCAATATTGCTTATTCCATCACTCCATTTTTCCTCTATTCTTCGGATAGGATACGTTTTATTCAATTTTATTGACGATGATACTAATTACTCGATCCACCAATCCACAACTCTATCTTTGGAAAGAAAATTTCTTCTACGAAATTGTCGCAAAGAAAAATTCCATGTTCAATATGTACAGGACAATGTTTGTTGTAAAAATGTAGAGAGAAAAAAGTCTTATAGAAGGAGAGAGAGGGAGAGAGCGAACGTTCTTATATTTGTGTGTGCGTGTGTGGGATAAGATCGAGAATGCGGTTGTGACGCTGCGGAAAAAATTCGCTTGCTATACGTCAGTAATACGTTATAACGTCGGCTAAGATAATGCAATCGATGTGGCATATCTTGTGAGTTAAATAAGCTGCCGAATGTAAATACCATGCTGGAACATAATTTTGGATTCCATTGATAAGAATTTAGACGACGGAATGTTAACTCTATGATCGTTTCTTTAAATCGTCTTGCAAAATCTTACATAAAACTTTCTTCTTACTTCGTCGTTTAGTCGTTTTTGGTTTTACCTTGGTAGAAAATTTTGAATGAAGAAACGAGGACAGGTGTGGCGGATTCGAAGGTTGATAATGGTGTTGTTGTTCATCCTGTGTTGTCTTATCTGTCATCTCATTATTACATACAACCACTTCGTCCGCCATGCTTGCTTATTCTTTTCGTTACCTTAAACGATGAATTAATCTCCGACGTTAGTATTTGACACGCGTTGGTAAAAGTATTCTATTATATTTTTATCAGCAAATTTTAACTTGGATTTTTTATGTTGGTTATCTGGGAAAGGTTGTTTTTTTGATTAGGCATATGTGTAACAGCTAATGAACGAACGTTTTACTGTGATCTTCTGTCGTTCATTTGATCTACTTTTGTTGAAAAAAACAACTAATCATTTAATAATTTTCTTAAAGCTAGATTATCATAGATAGATATTGTTCATATAAATATTCTAATCCACATTTTTGTCGTTTTGAAATGTACAATATAATTGACAAAATTCATCAAATATATTGATACAACTTTGTAGGATTTTTGTATTCGTCGAGGGATAGTTTAAACAAAATGATTTATATTACATTGGTTAAAATCTAATCATAATCGTTGAAAATTCGAATTCAATATTCTAATATAAAAATATTCAAAAACGAGTGATACGACAATATCGGTCGAAAGACATAAAAAGTTATAAATTACAATATTGAAAATAAACGATATGATGATATATTTAAAAGAAATCTAATAACAATAAATAGTCACGTATTTAATCGTTTAAATTTCTAATATCTGCCGGTAGTAATTTGTAATGGTTTTATAGTCTGAGGAGTTTAGAATTAAAAATGATATTCTTCCTAGATACAAATGATTCTTTTGTCAGAACTCATAGATCAAAGCTGGTGATTTGTTGTTGCAACTCTTTCCTGTAATTGAAAAAAAAAAAAAAAAAAAGAAAAGAAAAATTGTCTTCTAATAAATTAGAAAAATAAAGACAGAAATAAGAGAGAGAGAGAGAAAGAGGGAGACAGAAAAAGGATCTTCTTCCTTTTTGTTTTGTTTTTTGTTGTTGTTTTCCTAGTGTGTGTTGGGCTTTCGTCCAAGTAAGCAAGCGTAGGTAGTGACGATTAATCTTGCCAAGGGCATGCATGTCCGACGTCTCGGATATTCGAAATTCGGTGCGTGTAGCTTGTGTGCGTTTTCTTTTGCCGCGCTTGTACGAAGACGTGAGCGCGTTAAACTCGTGTCAAGTCGGTTAGATACGACGAATATTTAACAATGAGTTTGATCGACAAAGATTCAACAATAATCATTTCAACGAGAGAGATACAATATTTCAATTCAACATTTTTTTCATAAAGTTTCAAACGTTTTTATTAACAAATTTACAATTTTCTTCGAAACTTTCTGAAATCTTCCTTTTTTAAGCCTATTTATTAACGTGATGTCACTTTTTAGGCCTTGATTCCCCTCTTTAGAAATGTATTCCTAATATTATTATTACATTTTAAATTGATTCGATAAAGTAATATTATTTTTTTACATTTTTATTTGTATTTTAGTTTTTTTTTTGTCCATTTATTTCTCGGTCTGAAAATATTTCATTTCTCTTTATTATGCTTTGTGAAGTGCAATTATACAATTTTTATTTGGACACATATGTAGTTAGAAGAAAATCATCAGCACTTATCTCTCTCTCTCTCACTCACTCTCTGTTTAATATTCTTTCTTTTGGATTATTATTTTATAAAAAAAAAAAAAGATAAATATTGTTTTTCAAAGCAATAATAAATTGTTTAAATTAATCTTCCTATTTTTTTGTTTAAATCGTTTGTCTAATAATCAGAAAATTATTCGTCTGACTAATCTTTTCTGAATTCCGTTCGTTTAGGAATAAAAATGGTGAAAACGTTCGTAAATCAATGTGATGAACAAAATCGTCGTTGTCGTCATTGTGTTAACGTCAAAGTAACAACGTCACTCGTATTTAATTATTATTTATTATTCGCGATAAGAAAATAAATTATAGTGTAAGAAACGCGTCAATTCTTGTCGTTATCGTTAAAACCGAGTCCTTCAAAAAAAAAAAACACCTTCAAAATTATTAATATGCCACGTGTAAAACTAACTTCCCTAGAACGCATTTATATATATTGGAAAAAAACTAGAAAGAGAGAAAACGTCGGCACGTTTGAAGCTTCGTAATGTCGAAGGAAATATTTTTCTCCATGGAAAAGTCTCCGTTCGCGGAAACTACTCGTTTGGCAGCCATTTTTCAACCTTTCTCGGATGATAAAGAAAAAAACAAAAATGAACGAAGAGAATTCAATTGCAAAATGATCAAATCTGCTGCTCTCTATACCTTCTCGTAAATTCTTTTTTCTTTTTTTTTTTAGTTCGCACTAGAAACGTAAATGAAACAATTTGTTCAATTTATTTGAATTTTTTTTCTTCAACGCGAAAGAATAATTTTTACGTTACGGTCTCGCGCCATTTTGTTGTTCATCTTTCCTCTTTGCTTGACGTATCAAAATCATCGAAACATTTGTTAATATATATTTTTGTATTTTGTATTTTGTTTCTTCGATGAAAATAAACATATGTTGAATAAAACTGTTGTTAATTTCTTTTTAACAATAAATAATATTAAAACATTTCAACGAGAAAAATTGAACCCTTATCTTGAATTATTTCCAAAAACTTTCGAATTTAATTCTAAAAATTGTGAAAAATCATTAAATTTTTCTTTTTACTTTTCAATATTGCATTAGATTAAAATGCAATTTTTCTTTTTTGTTTTTTTTGTTTTCATCTTAACACTTTCATTTATATTTTACAACACTTTATTAACTTTTTCTGTAATGAACGAACAAAATGAAAATAAATGAGAGAGAAAAAATTTCCTTTGATCTGAATTCATTAAAAAAAAAAAAAAAAAAAAACGTTTTCATATTTTCCTTGTTGTTTGGCAAATAAAATAGAAGGAGAAGAAAAAGAAATTGAAATGTATATTTATAAGAAAGTAATAAATTAAGGGTTGTAAGTTCGTGATATTTTATTGATATTTCTAAAGAAAATCGTTCATTTTGTGTTTAGTTCGAAATTCAAATCGTTTTGTAATCTCACGTTTCTCATTATCAGTAATACGATATTTAAAAGAAAAAGAAAAAAAAGAAAAAATAGAAATATTCGGTTTCCCGCATCTCTTAAAATCCTATCACAAAACAAATATTTAATCGCAGGGGGTGTATTTTGTTTGTCCCCTAAAACTATCGTTTTTCTTTCCTTTTTTCTCTCTTTTTGTCTTTTTCTCTCACAAAATCGAAAGAGCCTTTTTTTTTCTTTATTTTTTTTTCCTATTTTATTTTATCGTCGGCTCGAAAGCGACAAGTTCTCGATTCAAAAGCAGTTTTGTATATTTTGTATTTTATTTTTCCCCTCCCATGGAGGAGAATACAACGGTGGCAAACAATAACGTGCGATAAAAATACAATTCGTGTATTGTTAGTGAAATATGTTTAAACAATTTCGGGACTGGTTTGTGTCTCTTTTGGAAAAAGTTCAAATATAAAAAAAATATTTCTATACATACATATACATACATATATATATATATATAGAAACGTGTGTAACTATAGGTTTATATTTTGATTAAAAAATCGAGAAACGTTTTTTCAAGTCGTCGATATTCGTACGGGGTTGATTTTGTAGGGGTAAAAGTGGTAGTAGACTTTTAAATAAAAAAAATGAAACAAAACAAAAAGGGGGAAAATGTATGGAAAAAAAAGAAAGAAAAATTATAAAATGGTGTAACAAAAAAAGGCAAAAAACAAGAAAAAAAAGGAAGAAAGGTGAAATAAAAATGATTACGATCGACGGACGACAAAACTCGGGCAGAGTGATTTTATTTTTCGCCGAGCTTACGTTGTGCGGTCGGAAAAGTCGATCGATTTGTTCTCGCGTGTCGATTGCTTTCTCTCTTTCTCTTTTTCTCTTTTTCTCTTTCTAACAACAACAAAAAAAAAATAAAAAAGAAAATAGACAACAAGAAATAAAAACAAATAAAAACTTTATTATTCAACTTGGGGGAGGATAAGTGAAATCGAACGTTTCCAATGATGATTATCTTTTCTTCTAACATTAAAATATGTTATAATATTTAATATTTATGATAAGCACATACATACATAGTCACACACACACACACATGTTCGTTCTAATTTTCTATATTCCTCTTTATTATTATTGAATAATAATAGAAATAAAACGATATCCATTTCTTTTTTAGCGATCGATATTAATCATTTATTCAATCTCGTTTAAAAGTTGTTCAATTAGGACGTTTAGCGAACGAGTAGTATAATAAATAGTAATAATATAGCACTTCTTATATAGCTTTCATAAATTACATCTCAATTATTCGTAGTTTCATGTAAAAATATTCTACTATATATACTACTACTGTGTACTTTTATCTCTAAATAAAATTAACGTGTTTATTTGAAAAAAAAAAGTAAAAAAGAAAAAGAAGAATAACAAAAATAAAAACAACAAAAATAAAAAAAGAGAAAAAAATTAGTTAAAATCACGAAGAGTAAAAACACGTTAGATTAATTAAACGCGATGTGTCAATACTTTTCCCCTCCCCGCCCAATTGCTCTCTTTACCCCCGTACTCTTTACAAACTCGGCGTAGTAATAATGAACGTGAAATAAATGAAAGAGAAAAGTTTATATACAAACGTAAATATGCATATAGAAGTGTTGTGTGGTGGTGCCCTGGTGAAGCGAGATACAAGTGCGAATGCGAACGTGAACGTGAACCCAAACGCGAGTGTTGTTGTGTGTACATATTCGATATATCACAAAAGCTTGATAATTACTGCATTAACTAAAAGAACAAATAAATTGAATTTACATGAGAATGATAAAAGCGATATTAATTCGATGATTAACACGTATACCGGTGATCGGCACCAATAGAAACAGCGCAACTGCAACTTTGTGCAACTCTGTGTGCGTTGCTATTCTGCAACTGCAACTGCAACGGCACACAACAGACACTCTAACTTCCTACGTTGGCCGCTGCTACACGTGCAACAGGTTTTAAACATTTTTACGATAAAGAGCGTGCGCTCGCGCGCACCTTTCCATGTAATTAATCGAAATGGAAAGGAAATTCAGGAAGCCGTGGCACGTCGCGAGACATTAAGCGAGTCGTTAGTTAAATATGAGCTATTGCGTTAATCGGACAGAGATAGATAGATTATATTATATATTACACATCTCTCTTGTAAACGTTCAATTCTAACTTATCCATGTAATAGGTGAATTATCGTTATTGAATCATGATTGAGAAAATTATTACACGATCGGATAATATACCGATCTCTCTCTCTCTCTCTCTCTCTCTCCTAGGTACTTCATATTTTTTCAATTGAAACATTGTTCAAATTAATACGCTATCGATACGTTAGTTCAATAATCATGATTTTTATCATTCGTTCCAATCGCAATTGATATTTTTATTAACAAAATTCACATGCAATTGTATTAACCTTTTAGGCACTACGCCTAAGCCACTGTGGTGGCTTTCGTGGATAACATCTTTTCAAATATATTACATCTAATTTGATTATTAATTATTAAAGTTAAAATATATGTTTATCATTTCTTGATTCAATACAAAGAATTGATATAAATTTCTTTGTATCAATACACCATCATAGTTTTATCATTTACGTACAAACTTTGACGCAACTCTGCCGTATAGAGAAACAACATCGCGCAATATTCAGCAGTGCCTAAGAGGTTAATTTGTAATATAAATAAGACTTTTGAAAAACAATTCTTTGAAACGTTTTCATATTCTCACTGTTATTTCTATCCTTTATCCATTACATCTGGCGATAACTAAACGTTCTTGATCATACGTCGAATAGGATAATTGTTAGAGCAGATGAATTGCTCCATTGACCTAAGAGAAGATGAACGAATACGTCAATTCTATTTTTAAATTATCCTATCTTCTATTTCGTACCAAGAATAGTATAGTACGTGCTATATCTATAAATCTATAGTTATATTTACAAAACGTTTAGGCATTTTCATTCTCTAAGGCATTTTCTTTTTCAAACTTCACCCAAGATAGATAAATATAGTGGTATAGGAACCCTTATACTAGGTGAACTGAATGAGGATGAATAAAGAGAAAACCTTAGGGGGTTAAGGGGTAGATGAGAAGAGAAAAAAAAAAGAGAAAAAGAAAAGAGAAGCTTTTTCCCGTAAACTTTTCAACATCTTATTCTTCTTATTTCTTGTGGTCGGATCAAAGAGGATTCCTTCAATGATGTGAATACGAGTATGTATATGAGAATAAGAACAAGAAAGAAAGAATACAGGGAAAGATCTTCTTCAAGTTTCAAGGGGTTGAAAAAGAGAAACTAAGGGATGATGATTCACCTAACAGCTGTCATCATCCATCGTGATCTCATCTTGAGTCTCCTTTTGAACTTCTGTTTTTTTTTTTTTTCAAGAAAATTATTATACAAAAGACAACATTAATTTTTTAATGAACGATTATATCATTTAAGAAAATGTTATAACAAATAATTTTTAGATAAATGTATTTTTCTTGTAATTATTTGAAATGAAATTTATGGGAAGCAACTTAGAAAAAGATAACGAATTCTAAACGTTACATGAGAAATAATGGATTTGTTAGGAAGAATGATCGTTTGACCGACAGAAGAATATCTTTTGGAAAATGGATCTGTAATCAGTTTGATAAGTATCTCTTAGGGGTTTTATGAGAATAATTTCAAAGCAAAGGGGCATTAGAATATATTTTAACAGGTTCATTTATCTATTCGTGTTGTACGATGTTTATCATCTTTGGGGTTTGTTAATGGGATTCGTTTATTGTATTGACGATTGTTCTTCGTATATTTGTTAGGTTTAGGACTGGCTCCGCATACTCCCGAAGAAGCAGCAGTCCTGGCGGCGGCAGCAGCTGCATTACATCATCATCACCAAGGTGGTCCTGGAGGTCCAGCGATGAGGCCTCTAAGGCCACCTTTACCACCGGGGATGCTGCATACTTCGCCGCATCCCTTGGCACCGCACCACCCCTTGGCCGCTCCTCATCATCCTCTGGTACCACCACATCATCCAGAGGAAGATGGGGTCGTCGATGATCCTAAAGTCACGCTAGAGGGCAAGGAACTTTGGGAAAAGTTTCATAAACTTGGCACAGAAATGGTCATCACCAAAAGTGGCCGGTAAGTTTTCATTTAATTATTTGTTTTTATTTTTTTATTTTAAGTATTATTTATTCTTTATTAGAAAAATGTATTTGTACCTTGAAATCTTATTTTTAGATAACATTCATTGTTAATAATATATTTTTCATCGAAGAAATTGTATTTATCATGATAAACTGATTATTTTCAAAAAAGTTTTACAAATTTTAATAAACGTGATTAGAAAATTATTTATCAGTTAAAAAAAAAAAAACAAAAAAAGAAAAGGTTAAATGATTCTTATCGTTAAAATATGCCTTTACAAGCTTGCATAATGAATATCAAATGACATTTTCATGATTTCTTGATCGGAACTAAAGAAAACGTTAGGCACCATTGAACGCTTTATAAGCTTGCTGACAGAAGAAGCAAGTGGTTTCTTTCTATAGCCCACTTTTCGTCCTTCGAAGTAAACTTCAACGATCATGGTTTATACAAACGAATAGAGCAGCCTATCAGATTCAAGCATAAAAGTAAAGACTGGAATAGGGGTGGTAAAAAGAGAAAGAAAGAGAGAGAGAGAGAAATAAAGAAAGAAAGAACTAGAGATAGAGAGATAGGCCGGTAAGTAATTTAAAAAGAAATGAAAAGCGCGTTCTTCCGCGACTAGGCTTAGAAGTTAGAAACGGTCTTTCTAGATAGACACAGACACGAGCTGAAAACTATAATAGCTGAGAATAGAGCACGCGCCTGGAAAAGGGTGAGCATATACCTTTACATATTTCATGTGCGACGCGTACAGGTGCGTGTTTTTGCGCTCGCGTTTACATTCATATATATATATATATATTTTTTTTTATATAGAAACGTATATGTGTGTATAGAGAGCACGTAAGTTACGTTATACTTGTATCATATGTAATTGTGTCGAATTATCAATGTTATACATACACTCATATATTCATTTCTACTTTACGTACTTACACATATAATATATATCTAAAGGATTTTCCTTTACACACACACATACACACGTCTATGTACATGTAGAAATTCTTTTATATACGTATTATTCCTATTTCTCTTTTTTTTGTTTCTTTTCTTCAGAGAATGCATCTATCTTTCGACATTCCTATTATTTAATTGTGTGTGTGCACGTTCCTGAGCTTATCTCCTACGTGTCTCTCTCTCTCTCTCTTTCTCTGTGTGTGTGTGTGTTGCTTTTCATGAATGAATATATCGGGACGGATTTAATCTTTGAATGTTAGTGTCCTGTTGCATGTGTATACGATACTACACAGTACTAATCCTCTCTCGCATACATTCGATTGCAAACAGGGTGCTCTTCGTCTCTCTTTCTCTTACTGTCTGCACAAGGAAAGAGAGAAAGAGAGAGAGAGAGTGCAATACGAAACTCGCACGTGGATTTCGGCTTTGCTCTCCTAATTTGCGTCATTAGTATCGCGAGAAAGGGAAATCGTGATTTACCATTGGGGATTCTCTGTCTTTCTCTCTCTCTCTCTTTCTCTCTCTCATTTGATCTTACTGTCTATACGTGTTACGATAAAGGGGTTGCTTCCTGTTAGTCTGGCCGAATAGAAATTCAGCTTTCTCTCACCCCTTACACGTAGATCTAACGAACGAACCACGCTGATTAATCATTTTATTCTTTTTTTTTTTATGAAATTTATTGTCTTTTTTTTTTTAATAATATTCTATATACATATAAAGATTATTATTTATAAAGATATATTAGTAAGAAGAAATTTAGAACAATTTGTACGGTTTGCATTGGTGAATCTTGTAAATTTATTTCCAAATACATATTTTTCAATGAATAAAAGCAATTTTTTGTTGTCTCTAGTAAGAAGTAATTTTTGAAGTTTCATTTGTGCAAGTATTATAGATGTATGATGTGTGTATAAGGTCGAAAGCTTGATACGTGTCCTTTCACAGTTATTAATGTTAATTTTTAAGACGTTAGTTCGTTCAAATTCGTACCCGTCACGTTGTTCGTCGCGGACTTTCGCATGATTGCAGTGGATAATCTAGCATAAACTCGGTGGTCTGTAGCTGCACATTAAACGTCGTTCCTACCACCCAAGGAAAAAAGAAAGAAAGAGAGAGAGAGAGAGGTCCACGTTTATGTATGTTGTTACGTTGCCTGTCTACACGTAAGGAAACTTATCGTTAGTTGCTATCATTATAAAACTTCCTCTCTCTCTCTCTATATATATATATATAGTTTAAAAAATAAAAAAAAAAATTCGATTTTTTTCCATTTAATGTTAATATTCTCCTTTTCTTTTTTACTTGTTGTTGTTGTTGTAATTTTTTAGTAGTACACACGAACGGTGCGAACCGTGTTTCACAAACTTGATAAACTTTCTTGAGATTGTTCTGACAACGTTTAAATTATTTTTGATCGATTTAAAAGATTAGAAAAATATTCATAACAAGTTTGTATTTTTTGTAGTTCGATTACTTATTATCGGTCGTCAGCATTTTTTTTGAACTGATTCTCATTTAATTGTACATTGTTTAAGTTGTTTAATTTTCTTGATTTATGTTTGAGTTCAATGCATAGAAATTGATTAGAAAAGACATTGATATATACAACTGAAGATGTCAATTGTTCTATTTCGATGAATTAGAATTAACAGAGACAGAGAACTTACCATTAGATTTGCTTTTATATTTTCTAGTCTCTATACTTGTCCAATATAGAACGCACCCTGACGCATACGAGACTCCTCCTCTATAGCATATATGTATATATTCTCTATCACACACATAGACATCATTGAGGGAACATGTGTGTAGGTGCGTTCTCGTGACCTACTGGAAACGTACAAGACGCGTGTACGCATGCAGCCAAAGCTCGTTGTCGGATCTCGAGGACGCTTCGACTGAAGACTCCTAATAAGTTCTGGGTGCTTCGAAGAAAATAAATAGAAATGAGAAATAAAAATATATAATAAAAATCTAACACGATTCAACACCGACAACAAGTACGAACGGTGACAAGAAGCTGCAAGCCACTAGCAATTAATAATAGCGAATATCTCCGTGAAAAATGTTCATACGTTTAACACGTTTATTACGCAAGTAAAACCCCCCATTTACAAGCATTCCTGATTCAATTTCTTACTCATCTAATCGATGTTCTAAGACCACTTTAAACGTCACGCAAATTCCAACCAACTAGTGACATAATTATCATCATCATCATCATCGTCATCATCATCATTATCATCATCCTTAATGCATCGTTTTATTTCTTATTATAATCGCGATTGATAATCTCGATTAGTCGTTTTATGTCGCATCGAAATCATTAGAACGTAATTAAAAATGTCAATCAGGTTTTTGTTTTTTTCTATGAATCACACTTATATTCTTTATACATATATATAATAATAATAATAATATAACATATCAATTTTCTATCTTAAAATTCGCGTTAGAAAAAGTTACAACGTTTCCTGATACACACACACATCCTATATATAATATACATATGTATCTAAACATACTAATCTACGCGTTTTCTTTTCTTATTTAACCAATTACATATACAATGCATAATATGTAATACATAATGTCTCGAGGGTGGTGGTTGTAGGGTGTAACGAAGAAGAAGAAGAAGAGGAGAAACAAGAGAGAGATAGAGAAAGACAGACTGAAAACAAGAGAGAGAGAGACAGAGAGAGAGAGACAGAGAGAGAGAAAGAGAGATAGAATGAGGGTCTTAAGTATAGGGCTGCCTTAACGATGTTTGTTTTATACATTGGCAGCCTCTTCTCGAACCTGTAATCTTTCTAAACGAGATATTACCTGGGCCCGTTGCGAAACAAACCCTTAAGCTTCTCTTTCTCTCTCTCTCTCTCTCTCTCTCTTTCTCATTCTGTTTTTCTCTTTCTCTCTCCGTCGGGTCGTGTGGTTTGCGGACTTTCGAAGGCCGAAAGAGTGGGGGAAGGAAGAGAGGAGATAGAAAAGGACGGAAGATTATACTCGAAGGGGGGAACTGGGCCTCAAAATTGCCTCCCCTTCCTTCACCCCTCTAACCCCTCCTCCCCTCCTTGGCTACCTGCCCAAATTGCCGGCCATTCAACAGCCTCCGGTCACGCACACGCGAACCCTCTCATACAAACACACATATATACAACACACATGTGAGTCTAGTCTCATCGTCTTATACACACAACACACATACACACACGCGCGTGTATTTCTTCTCTCTTTTCGTTGACGAATTATCGAAGGGGGGGGGGGTTAGGCGAAACCAGATCAACGATTATTTTTTTTGTCTGTTTCGCCATTTTTTCTTGTTTGCAACAAGCTTCCTACATTGCTTAATTTTTAGTTTAATAGGATGTTTTAGGATATTTTAGAGAGGGATTCTTATCGTAATTTCTTTTTTTTTTTTCTTCTTTTTTTTTCTTACGTTGTTGTTATTATTCGCATTCTTTCTTTTTCTTCTTCTTCTTCTTCTTCTTCTTCTTTTTTTCTTTTACCTGAATCGAAAATGAATTTTTGCAATGAGTTCACTCTTCCTGTCGACGAAATGCAACGAGATAGCAATTATTTCTCCTGTAATTAATACCCAATTAATTTATCAGAGCGATAAATATACGTTCATGACCATTTATAGAAGTTGTGAATAAAAGAAGAATGCGAGAGTATTATACCTGTTGGGTGTTACAAGCATTGTTAAGAGAACAGGTAACGTTAACGCGTTAACCCGATTGCGAGTAATTAAACGGTTCGTATGGTATCGTAATTAAATTCTGTCTGTTGTCTTGCACATCTTTTATCCTTTCCCATATCGAAAAGAAAAAAGAAAAAAAAAAAAGAAAAAAAAAAGAAAAAAGAAATAAACAAATCAATAATTAAGTAAGTAAATAAAAATCGAACAATTGCGAGACTTATATTTATTGGGTCAGTATTTCTAAACGTATTTCATAGTATTTATTTATGTGTGTGTGTGTGTGGGTAATAAATATTTATTCCTAATCTAGTTACATTTATTTATAGTA